TGGTTTGCCTGTCGATGTAAGGCATCTGTCCGGCTATGGGACATGTAGCGGGTTTCCGAGACTTCACTTTCTTCACACAGACACCGTCAACTTTGTCCTCTCCAGGTGGGCAGGCACAAACACTGCCGTCACAGGTCGAGCCACCTTGACACTGTTCATCAGCCTCACAGGCTTCTCCGATTTCGACCTTCGGTAGGCATGTACCTTTCACGTCCACTTCATTCTCACCACATGCGGATTGACAAATACCATTCACATAGCTCTGGTTTTCGGGGCAAGCACAAACGCCAGCCTGGCAGATAGCACTGGTTGGGCACTGTACTTGGTTACTGCATGGTTCGCCGATGGAGACACGGTTCAGGCACTGACCATCGACAGCGACTTGTTTCTCCGAGCAAACTGAAAGGAAAAGACACTAAACAAAGTGTACTGCAGCTACATATACAAGACAACTTGGATAATAAAAGCGAAGTTCGAAATTGAAGGTATGTTATTCTCCTTCCCTTCGAGTAGTTGAAGGTAAACTTTTCAAAAGGTTGGGAGGAAATCCCTTCAAGAAAGGATGGGTTGATACTTAAGCTGGGGTAGTTGCAAGTGGATTACTTCCCTATATCTGATCGAAATATCAAATTCTAGATTCCCTCAGACAATTTCCAGCTTTGTGGCATATTCCAGAAATATGATGGCCTTTTGAAGGATTTCATTCACAAAAAGCAGCTCTGTCTAGACCTTATCACCCACAGAGTCGGTTTTATCTTCCCAATCTTTCTCCAGGAACCCAAGGAAAAAAGAGATGGAACGAGGCTGGGCATTCAAACAAGGTGGTGAATCAGAAACGAACCTTGTTCATTGGTTGTGCAACATAGCTGAGCTCCAGTAAGACTGCGTTGGCACGAGTATCCTTTCGGACAGCTGCTCTGTCCGATGGCACAACTTTGTGCTTCACCGGTGATTCCAATGAATGCCACGGAATCATTCGGACAGCCTCCAGACATTCCACAGCATTGGAACTGGTTGTTGGCAGTGGAAAATTGGCAGAAGTAGCCAGTGGGGCAATTCTGCGAGGCAGCCGTACAGATTCGTGGCTGATTTGTAGCCACATCTCGATAGGCCACTTGGTTATTCGGGCAGCCGAGAGCAGCGATGGACTTCGGTGTAGTGATTGGCGTCGAGCCACAACACTGATAGCGTTGATTGGAGATAGACCACTGGCAGGAGTAACCGTTTGGACACGGGGCATTTGGTGGGTTGAATGGGTCGCAGGCGGCGATCTGACCATCCTTCATGTAGACAAACTCGTTTGGTGGACAGCCATCTGAAATTGCACGATAAAGCCAACAATGCTAGTAAGAAGTCGAGCGACCCCTACCTGAAGCCGATGCCACTTCTCCTTTACAGCAGTAACCGGTAGTGAACTCGGTCTGCGTACTCTGGCAGCTGTAACCATTTGGACAAGTAATGAACGCTCCAACGGTGCACGAACGTGGCATCTGACTGCTTTCCTCGAGATAGAATTCGGCTTTGTTCGGACAAAGATGACTGGCCGAGCAGCAGTATCCTTGGAATGCACCGGGCACATCTGATTGGCATGTGTAACCAGTAGGACACTGGTTGCTGCTGCTGCTGATTGTGCACCTAGAAAATGAGTTTTGAGGAGCACGGTTCCAAGACAGGCTGTAGTTATAGCTGTACCACCGATGGCGGCCCCGCCGG